CACTGGCCCGGAGGACCTGAATTCAAATGTGTCCTCAGACACTTACTAGCTGTGTGACTCTGGGCAAGTCACTTAAATCTGATTGCCTCCAATAAAGAAAAATAGTGAACCAGTTGAGACAGTCAAAATAGCTGACCCCAAATGGGAAGTTCCAGAGATGAAATCATTAAAACCTCCAGGACATAGTACCAACCCGTTGTTTTTCTCTCAAATACCCGTTGATTTTCAATAGCCCAAGCCATGCCACTATAAGAAGGAAAGCAGTGTTCTTACCAAGAAAGTATCTGCTGGATGTCAGTCAGAATGCAAACACACTGAAAGCCTCTTGGTTTCAGTTTTGTTTTCACAGAATTTCAAATTGCTAAATGTCTTTTTTTTTTTTTTGGTGAGGCAATTGGGGTTGTGACTTGCCTAAGGTCACACAGCTAATAAGTATCAAGTGTCTGAGGCTGGATTTGAACTCAGGTCCTCCTGACTCAAGGGCCACTGCTCTATCCACTATGTCCCCAGCTAAATGTCTTTGAGAGGCATAGAGAGGCCTTTAATAAGTCCTGAGATCAAATCCTCCCTGTCAAACATACAGGCTGTTAACCTGGGCAAGTGTCAGTCCCCAGGTTTCTCTTTAAGACTGGAAATGGCAGAGCAGCTACTAGAGGGAATTTGCTCATTGGGAGGTATGCAAATGAAATCACATGTTGGGCCAGCCCCAAAATTCCATCTTTAGGTTGAAAGCCAAAGGGCCAGGTTTTCCCAATATGTGTGCTATTTCCTCCTTGTAAAATAGACACATTGACTCTCTCAGGCCATTATGATACTCTCTTTTTTAAGTTATTGCCTCAGTGAATGGAGTTATACCCTGCTGACCCAAAAGAATGAATGTGTTTTTTCCCAGAAAGCTTTCACCACTAAGGAACAATTTAAGTCCTTGGAGAATCTGGTATAATTTGCTGGTAACATAAGTATCACACTACAGCATAGACGGATGTGAGGAAGACTCGTTGGTAGTGCCTTACAGTTGTTTATGATGTTTTAGAGGCAAGTTAAAAATCTAACAAATAAAAAAGATTGCTTAAAAATTATACTGAATCATTAGAAATAGTTTTGCAATATAAATCTCACATGCTTCCTGATTTATAGCCACTGGCTGTCTTTTATGGGTAATTTTTTTAACATCTTCAGAAGAAACTTTAATAATGCATTTTTAAAGTAGTCACTACTGAACCTTTGGATGATTAAATGCTATATGATATTTCCTTCATCCAAGCTGGTTTATAAAGGAAAGCAAAAACGACAATAAAAGAAATGTACCAATTTATTCTCTACTAATAAAGTATTGAACATTAAGAGGAAAAAAAAGTATGAAATATTGGAATGCAACACAGAGCAATTCCATTACCCATTGCAGTTTTGGGTCATATACTGTATATAAAGAGTAATTACTTCATTCATTGGAGACCACAGTGGAGGGAGGCAGTTTGTGATAAAAGAGATTTTAATATAAAATTTCTATTCCAAAGCATTTGCTTTTCAAAGCTTTGCTAACATTGCAAAGCATCTTCTTGCTTTGGAGAAGACACTTAAATTAAGAGTGGGAAGCCAAAACCAAACCAAACCAAACCTAGCCAACACAACACCAACTGATTATCAGAGGGTTTAGTTTAATTGCTAACTCTGAAGTTTTGCAGTGTGTGTTAAAAAATGGTCTTTATAGATGAATTTTGAAGAATGCTTTCTCAGTTAGCCAAAGCCCCATGTAGAATGTACATTAACGACATCTGAAATGATAGTTTCCAGAATGTTTCTTGCATTCCATCATTGAATTGAAGCTCCCAAATTTCACTTCCTTTGTCAATTAGTTGGCATAGTGCCAGTCATACAAAAGTTTTGGGATGAGGTTAATAATAGGCATAAGGAAAGATAGACCACAGTACCTGAAATGAGTTTCTTTTCTTTTTTTAATTTTTGTTGATATCTTTTGTCTTTACATTTCCTAATTTCCCCTCCACCCTTAATCCTCTCCTCTCCCAGAGAGCCATCTCTCATAATAAAGATTTAAAAAATAGAAAGAAAACAAATTCAGCAAAGCTGATCAATACATTAAAAACTGCTATTTGATGCGACTGCACCCCAACCCCCTTCAAAGGTATTCAAAGATATGAATTTCCAAAACCTTTGAAGACGAAGATACTTTCCCCTACCTTTGTTGTAATGTCTCTTCAGATACAGCCCTTCCACCACAGATAGAACTGAAAGGGCCAATTACAACAAAGATATAAAACATTATCTCTTATTGGGGAATTTTCCTGGCTTACAAATGTTATGCTTTCATCCTAATTTTGATTTTCTTTTCAAAGAGAAATCATGGAGATGCTTTATTCTATTTCATATGATTAAACTCAGTTTGAATTTAAGAAAGTAAGGGCCAGAGGCCAAGGTGTTTATTGGCCCAGAATGTGTTATGAAGTATACAGGAAGCAGTCACTACTTATTTTGATTCTAAAGAACACAATTATGTAATTGAGTTAATTTTTTGTTTGTTTTAACTGGAGGAAGAAAAAAGATGATAAGTTGAGGCATCCACATTTGCATTGGCATGTGACTTCTGAAGAGAGTAACATGGCATAGGTAGTATTTGCTTACCTTACCATCAGTGAGAAGCTTTATGGAATATATCTACTCTCACTGGCTGACACTCCATTTAGACATAAGTGAGGTGAATGATATGCTTTGAAGTCTCCCTTGGAAATTTAATTTCAGTATGACTACACTTCGTCTGGTTATAAATTGACTCCCATGTCACTGGCCACAGTGATTTCACCTCAGTGGCAGAGAGCATGCCAGTTGCCTTTATATATCCCCTCTGTTTTGAGGTGGCTGAAGTCCAAACATGAAATGTTTCATGTGTAAAGTGCCCAGGGCTCCTCTGAAATGGATAGGAAGTCGGCATGTAAATGTAGCATTATTATTCTAGTTCCCCTGGCTCCTTCCAATAAGTACTGACTGACACGTTAAGAGGTCTTAAGCTTTCTGGCACAATATTCAAAGTGTTAAAGGAAGTCAATTTAATGAAATCGGATCTACATTTCTGTAGACATTCACACTGTCATGGAAGGTGGATTGGATGGTCCCCACAAAGCCAGCTGGGTAAATTTGGGTGGTACTGGATTCCAAAGCAGAATTTCAAATGGTGGAAGGACCACCACTGGTCCTTTCTTCTGCAGGGGCCTGAATTTCATTCCAGGCCTTCTTGTTCAGTCTGGCGGAGTTTCTCTTCCCAGAGTCCCAGGGCTTGGCCAGCTTCTCTCCTTGGATAAGGTTTGGGCCACACCCTCTTTTCTATCAAGATCTTCCTTTAAGAAGACAACAGAAATTTTCTAATATATTAAGAACATAAGCCAAAGGTTTTTAATGTAAGCAACCATAGAGAAACTGGTGGGAGGAAGGTGGAGGGGGAAATGGGGCAAAGTAAAAAATAACAGGCAAACATTACAAAGGAGAAGTGTTTAAATCTACTGGAATAGGTAACCTCTGGTCTTCCATGAAATGTAGATAGTTAGGTTTAATAATCCTTATCTATTTTTCTTTTTTTTCTCCTTGGCCTCCTTCTCCCACTCCCTCCAAGTCTCAAGAGTTTGCTCTATCCAAAGAGTTTGCTCTTTTTACACCCTAGCTGGATTTCTGCTCACACTAATCCATTTCACTCTCCCCCTTTGACTAGGAAACAAGTCCCTCCAGGTCACCTCACCTTCACTTTCTAATGGTGGAAACTCCACTTACTATTCACCACTCCAGTTCTCCACGCCTTCGCTTTCTAACTGTAAGAACTTTCCACCCAGTGGAACAATAGGTTTCAGGGGCAGTCAAGTCTAATTTACATTTCAAGAGAGACCTTGGTGTTGCTTACCTTTCCAAGTTCCCTAGCTCCTGGCTGGTAAAGTCAGAAGTCAATTCCTTACTTCCCTATGGGTCAATTACCAAGCTCCCCTAGGTACTTTAACCGAGCTTGAATTTAGTATAAACCCTGTGGCTTCTGAATTACAGAGAATTGAACATGGTAAACTGATTACTAATAGCCTGTGCTACTGAATAAGATAAATGCTGTATCTAAAAGTGTTCAAACTTTACAGACCACCTGAGTTGCTCTGACATCTAGAGACTAACAGTCTCTACATATGCATTTTCCCGCTAATTGCTAGGTTTCCCTTTCACCACCCATTTCTCATTTTTCCTTTTTCTCTGCTGCTGAGTTTTCTGAAACTACTGCAAAATTTAGACTTCTGGGATTAAAATTGGGACAGGGAGCTCTGGTGAGATAGAGAGGGACCTGAGATTGGTCTAGGAGCTGGTTCAAAGAAATGGAGTTGGGGTTTATGATTCCCTTTGTATTAAGAGGAATGTTTTTGGAAGAGGATGAACCCAGATCTTATGAGTTGTCACTCTTAAACTATGGAAGAGCCAAGTGCTTTTCTGTATCCCTATTTACCATTTACTCGTTATATGAAATAGAAAAAACAACAAAAAAACTGAATTCAAAGGACTTGGGTTCAGTTCTTGCCTTTGCTATTTACAATCTGTCACTTTGGGCAAATCACTTTCCCCCTTTTTCCCTCTCCTGATGTTTTCAAATCTATTAAATGAGAGGGTTAGGCTAATAAACTTTTTCCACTAGTGACCCCTTCAGCACTTCTTAAAACCCACGTAGGGTTGCGACTCACAGTTTAAGAAGTACTGGAGTAGATAATGTTAGTAGAAGGTCCATTTCAGTTCTAAATCCTGTGATTTAGTATGTAATTATGCTTTAGCAGAATTTATGTATTTATAGGAGCCTTGTCCACAGTACATTTAGTTTATATACATCACATATACAACATATGCACATACGTATAGCTATTTCCAAAAGAAAAAAATTATAAGGTTAATTCATGGAATTCAAACCCAACAGAGTACCCCTTTCTCCCCCCATCCTTAACATGGAATCTCTCTTTTTAATTATGTTTTAGGACAGTGAAAAAAAAGGATTCATAAATAAAATCTATGCCATCCAAGAGGTGTGTGTCAGCGTCCAGAACATCCTTGATGAAGTGGCATCCTTTGGAGAGAGGATAAAAAAGTGAGCGCTGCTGACGTATGGGACCTGGCCTCCTTTGGGATAGGGCTCCCATTTGTTTGTTACAGGGCAGAGTGTCACATGGTTTTCTTGGGAGGGGACCTCTGGGTGATCTATTGCTTGGTCTCATCATTATTTATTTTGCTTTCTGCCAACACTGGGATTTAGGAAGTTTCTGTCATTTTCATTCTGAAATTCAGCACATATTGGTTGGAATGGAATCATAGCTCCCACTTTGAAGTAAGAAGTAACACGGTCCTTAAGTTTAGCACATTTAAAGACCAAAATACTTTGTTCCTAAATGGAGTAGAGATTGTGATAGGAAAAAAAAAACACTGCTAAATAAGGAATTCAGGTATTCAACATATATTTGCATTTTATTGTTGGGCAAGTTTTCTTCGTATTGAGGTTATCTTGAATACAAAAAAGTTTATTTTATGTAGAGTACTGCGTAAGGAACTGTCTTCAGTTCTCCCCAGTTTTTGTAAATTAAACAGTGGAGGTCATAGCTGCGGGAGAAATACATTATCATCTTGTTGTTTAGATTACCCACACAAATTTTAGAACTTTTTGCAGTCTTTTTCTTAAACAAAATAAAAGTGGCTTAAGCTAGAATGAAAAAGTGGAGGCAGTTCTTTATTTTTGTCTAGTGTATTTAGTTTTGTTACAAATGTTTTAATTTACTGAAATACTCTTTATATAAACATTTTTTTAAAAAGGAATGTAGATTTAAAAGGATTTGTTAAAAAAACTGTACTAAACATAAATGTTATTCTAGTCTCCATAATGACTGCTAACAGCCTATTCTAAGCAATGGTGCTATGTGGATGGATGTGTTTTCCTGTAGTTTTCACTTATCTTCTCATAGCTTTGTTTATTATTCATATCCAGCAGATTTCAGGATTTTAGGCTTACACTAACTTTGTCAGAAGCATATTGTTTGAGCTCAAGGTGTAAGTTATTCGTCCAGTGCCTTTCATGTTACTGGGGGATAATATATTTTATTTGTGATAATTTCTTGTGTAATATAGTTACCACATATGCATAGGTGCTGAGTTTCTTTTTGGGAAGAGGCAGGGTAATCCCAATAATTGTAGCAGTCTCCTCTCTCTCCCAAATTCACCTCCAAGCAGCGTTCCCTCCCAGATTTCCAAGGTCTTCTCCTCATCTACTTCAGATGTTATTTCCATCCCCAAGAACCTTCCCTTCCAATCCACACAACAGCACTCTACAACATCAAGGTTCTATCCTGATAATGTGCATTTTCATGTTAACTATTCTTCTTTCCCTGGGCCTGCTATGTCAAAGTTTGAGACTTGGAGATGGAAAAACCGTGATTTTCAGTGCAGAAAACTTTGAATTATTTGCTTTAAAGTTGATGGAAGGAGGAGAAATGAGGTTGCTTTTTTCCCCCTCTAACATTTCTAAATGTTGGGAGGCTGCCACCATGGAACAGGTGTTTGGCCAGAAAACGTACAGGGCCACTTGAAGAAAAAGGCTGAGTTCTGGCTATAGAGCAACGTGGAGGACATCTGGACTTTGCGGAGCTTTCCATGGTGTGGGCTAAATGGCAATGTTTCAACGCCTTGCCAACATTATGGTTCCTGCACAAAGAAACTGTGGGGTGCTGAAAAAGAGATGCTTCTCCTGGGACCAAATCAGTGAAAACAGTTTGTCCTGAAAGTAGTTTCACAAAATAGCAAAGCCCCTTTGTGGATACCCTCTCTTCATTAAATCATCATTGAAGGAAACTCTTTGCATTCTTGAAATTAATCAAAAACTCTTCCCTCCCCCCATCTCTTTCTTGTTTCCTTCTCACCCTTCTCTCTCCACCTCCTCTCTGTATCCTTGTTTCCTTCTCTTCTTAATCCCCCTCTTCTTGCCATCCCCTTTTGTCTTTCTCCTTCTGTTTCTCTCTCTCTCTTCATATCTCTCACCATTCACTTCTCTTTCCCCTCTGCAGGGAAGAGATACTTTGGAATAAGGTTCTTCACATTTTAATCTAGAAAAAAGGGCAGCAAAACCTTCCCCCCCACCCATAATCACACTGGTGGAGACTGTCCTTTGCTATTTCTTTCTTTCTTGTCCCTCCAAGAGGATTAACGCAAAATGCACCGAGCCCATGCTAGGACAGCACAGAAGGAGGTTTCCAGATTGGATAGTCAATGTCCTCACACATGGGGTAGTGTGATCGATAGCTCTGAGCTGAGCCACAGGAAGGCAAGCAGACCCTCAACCTTCTGTTCACTGCAGATCCAGGCAGGAGAAAGGAAACGAGCAGGTGTCCCTTGAGGAGAAAAGAAGTGATTCTACACCTAGTGACAGTTACATAATGTTCACTTTGGAAAGATGTCAAAATTGCTAGTGAAGAAAAAAGACAAACAAAAACAAAACAGCCAGACCCTACCAATTATTTGAAGCAACGCATCCAAGATAATCCAACCATAGTATTTCAGCTCTTTTGCCAGAAAGAATATGATAAAAATGCCGAGAGAGAGAGAGAGAAATCTAAGAAATAGCTGCCACATCCAATTTAATTGACCCCCCCCCTTCACTAACTCAACCCTTGGGTAAGAACCCACGTTTCAGCCTTTCCAGAGATGAAGGACTATCAGAAAATTCCTTTATTTCCTCAACAATCTGCATAAGCTGGATGCCCAACCTCTCTTTGCTGTGTTTTAGGGCTCGAGAGCCAGACACCAAGGTATGTTGGTGCCCCTTTGGCAGTTTAACACTGGTAAGATGTTTTGAAGGATGGCATTATATATTTTAAAATGAAAATAGAACTGGGTTACCATCCCAGGATGCTTCGTAAAGTATCTGTATACTTTATGCCCTTCCTCTTAGAAAGCTGTCAGTGATTTTCCAGGGAACTGCTATATTACTACATGGGAGCCAGATCTTTAAAAATCACAGGGCCTTTTTCATCTTCATTTCTGTATATTTATCTGTTCTTTTTTTCTCTTTTGCCTATGTTGCATATTAACTTTCCCCCTGCCTTAACTCACTATTTAAAAAAAAAGTTATTTTATTCCTTTCTCATTTTTGGATGCAATTCCTTATTTTTAAAAATTTCAGCCTTGGATCTATTCCCATTCCCTTTGCATGGGGGCAGAGGGAGGTGCTATTTTAAAAGAAATCCTCTTTATTCTCATCTTTTTTTGCTTTTGTCCCTTACCTTGCCATTCAACATAGGATTTTAGGTCTGGAAGAGTCCTTAGAGGCCTATTCTATCCTCTCATTTCACAGATGAGGAAACTGAGGCCCAAAGAAAGGAAGTGACAGAATCACAGAATCTCAGAAGTAGAAAGGATTTCAGAAATTAGCTTACCTCTCCCACACCTGATCAACCTGTTACAAAATCCCTATGAAATGGTCATCTCACTTTTCCTTAAAAACATCCAGTCAGTAGCAAACATTATTTCCTGAGCTCCTTTCCACTTTGTCTAGTCCTAATCCTCACCCACACGACAACCCTTCAAATAACTGAAGACAGCTATCTCGCTCTCCTCTGCTGCCCACCAAGTCTTCCCTACTCCAAATTAAATATCCCCAGTTCTTTCAAGTGATCTTCATTCCCATGATCTTGAGATCTTTAACCATTCTAGGTGCCTCCTCTGGATGTTCTCTGGCTAATCAGTCATTTAGAGACTCAATAAATGTCACACAAATAGTGATGGGGCTGAAACTAGAAACCCAGAGCTCACTTTTTTCAGTCTAATAATCTTGATGTTACACCATGGTGAAGTAGAAGTAGGAAGACATCACAGCCCATTAGTGCTCTCCCCACTCAATTTTCCATCTAATTTATGGTCCTTCCAGTAAAAATGCTTTTTTTAAAAAATCAACTCTGTTTTCTACAGGAAAATATTTTGTGGGCTTTTGAATTTTTGCAAAGCTAGAACAACTCATTTTTCTTCTTTCCTTGACCTATATTTCTGAAATTCAACCAAAGGAGGAAGTACAGTCCCAGTTTGAGGGGAAATTTAGATGTTTCATAGACCAAAGGAGTCTATCTTCATACATGTTACTTCCCTGGACACATGTTAACAAATTTTTGCATGGGAAGTATAAAAGGTTTGATGATAGACTTACAAGCATGTTTTATTATTACCAAGCATTAGAAAATATTGCTTTATATTTCCACTTGAACAAGGGAAGAACAAGGTGAGTTTACTGTGGGTGGAGGAGACAGAAATGAAGAGGAGGGTCAAAGGTCTCTAGGGCATGTAGTATCAAACATGCTTCCTGCAATGCTTCTCTCTTTAGCTGGGGCAGAACCAGATTAAAATGATTGAGGGATATTTAACAAAATAAATAAAAATACAGTAGGACATAGATAATGTTGATATGACATGATCTTCATTTTGCAGTTTTAGGGATCTTTACTTATGATTTATTAGGCCCATTTCCATTTGAGTTTGATACCACCTTGGAAGCCCACCAGAGTTCAGCTGGTAAAGAACAAAACCAGAGCTCACTTAATGCCAGTTCTGTGAAGGTCACTCTGCGTCTCAGTTTCTACCCTAGCTAGAAAGTGGTGGAGGCTAATTAGGCCCATCGTACAGATGTGAAGTCTGGTCATTATGTGCATCATCTTTGGTTGAAAGTACAAAGTGATATGATTGCTGACACGTTAATTTTTCATTCAGCACATTCAACTGGACTGTCCCATTCTTAAGCTGGCTGGCAATTGCTGCCCTCTGTGCGTTCACAATCATCCTGTATTTCATTCCGCTGAGATACATTGTCCTTGTCTGGGGTAAGTAAAGCCCTTTTTTTAAAAACAAAACAAAACAAAGCAAAACTGTCTGAGCTACTTAGAACAAACTGTTTTTAAGGGATGAGTTACACTGTCAGTAGTTCTCTGTATTTATGGTCATGAAGCTGCTCCATGATGGAAAGAGACAGGTCTGTTAAAAATCACAACAGTGTAAAGATTTAGGCCTACCTGCAAAATGCATTTTTCTTGCCTGGCATTGTAGCCTTCATCATACTATAAACATGGGGCTGTGCAGATTCTTCATATATCAAAATGTAGCTTTGTCTAGATATTATTCTGATTTATTTTCACCACTTATACACAAGCAGAGGCATTTCAATCTATACAGTGCATTTAGGACAATATGCTTTTTTTCCCCCCCATGGCACTTTATCATCTGATAGTGTACGCAAACATGAAAGCGTACGTATATGGGAGGCTGTCTAAGAGGTCACCTTTAGGCTTACAGAAAAGAACACGCAGTATTTCACAGATGAGGAACAACAAATCTGTTTTGTTTCTACTAAATCAGAATGTCTACCTCCTACATTCCTGTTTTCTAGATAACATTTCAGTCCTGCCTTGTTCATGTAGTTATTGTTAGTCAAAAAGCATTTATTAAGCACCTACTAGGTACCAGACACTATGTTAAGTGTTCCTTATCTACTGTTCCTAAGCCCAGACCCACTATTTGGGAGGTTGCCTGTGTCAGTGCTGTCTAGAGTTAACTTTTTTTTTCCTTTCTTGACAAAATTCATGGTTGGGAAAACTCAATTTTCAGCCTCTGAGGACTACTACCATATAAACCCACCAAGTTAATGATTTCAAATAATCCTTTTTCTTTGCCTATATATAAATCAGTTGGAAAAAGGGAAAGAAACTGTATTGAAGGAGAATTGTGCCCTCCCCCTTCCTTGTTTCTAATATGAAACAAGGCACCAAAATGGGTCATGAACTTCCAAAACACATCTGGCTGTCAAAAGGAAAAAAGAGCAGAAGCAAAACGTAAGAGTGGGTTTTTAGTATTTTTTTTTGTATTGAAAGAGCTTTATGACAATCTACCTGGATAAAATGATCAGTGGCATTTGGGATATTCTGTCTCCAAACTCAAGTCTTTGCAAGTTTGAAGAGGCTTCCTTGTCATACCTAATGCAGACCCAGTTATCTCTGGCCATTCATTGCCTTTAGCCCCTAAAAACCAAAACAAAACTCGAGCTGTTTTCTGGAGTCCTGCAATTTAAAGAAACTCCAAGCTATGACATTGTTCTTCCCACAGGAGGGAAGGAGCAAGAGCAGTCCCACTGTATTTACTGAATGTTTAGTCGCTCATCTTTCATTCATTTCTATGATATTTAAAACAGATGCTGTTTTACTGAAGGAATTAGGGACAAGTGTCACCTTTGGGCAGTTTATTACCTCCAGCCCAGATAGGGTCAGACTTGTCCCTGGCTTAGCAAGGAAGTCTTATTAAAAAAAAAATCCACAGAATAAAAAGGTGTGTCTATATTCTGTGGCACACATTAGTGGAATCTAGTTTTCTTTCGTGGCCCCTTAAGAAAAATTTTTTGTAACTGTTGCTTCATCAGATCGGATAGAAAAAGAATTGTATTTGATTTTGTTGCCCTGAATGGGTTGTTGAAATATTAATCAGAAATTTGAGAACTATTCAGGCCACACCCCATAAGGAGACAGAGACTGAAGTCAATATTTCATGAAGGACTGGGTATCTACCCATGTTTCACCTCCTGAATCCTCAGTTAAGAAATTGGAAATGCTAGTCATCTATTTCAAGTTCTCTTTAGACCAGTAGAGTTTATTTCATTTAAAGCACCCAATGTGTATAATCCCAAATACTGTTAGATCCCTTTCCAACACAGATTATAATGGGAATCAAAACCTTTTGAACTTTTAACTTTCCCATTTAAAAAAACAAATCCCCAAACTAACAACGGGTGCATTTTCTTTTGAGAATTCTTGTTTTAATTTATAAATGACTTCCAGAATTGTGGGTGTGTGAGAGAAGAGTTACCTACTCCATTCCTACCAGGTGGGTGCAGAGTAGCCCAATTATAACAGTAGGCTAGGGGTAATCCTGGTAACCCTCTAGGCAAATGGTTATCTCACAAGATACATCTTCAAATCACTGCCAAGCATGTGAACAACTAGATACATTAGAGTGACCGTCAAGAGTAGGAACTAATTTTTGCTCTTCTTTGTATCTTGAACACAGCACAATGCCGGCAGCTTAATAAATGCTTGTTGACTTGGGGGGGAAAAACCCCCCCAAACAAGTAACTGTCAAATGTTGGTCAGAAAGGTGCTTTCAATAATTAGAGGGGAGTAAAAAAAAAATACAGAGATTTTAATAATGTTTCAACCATCACTTTTCCAGGCATCAATAAATTTACAAAGAAGCTTCGGAGTCCATATGCGATTGATAACAATGAGCTACTTGACTTCCTTTCTCGAGTTCCTTCTGATGTACAAGTAGTGAGTAGGCTTTTGAAATGCTTTGATGTTATTCGTTGTTAAACTTAGATATGTTGTTCTGTACAGGGTTGTTATTGAAATTTTTTTTCAGGGTTCTACTCCCGTCTTTGGTTTTGTAATATGGTATGATTTTAGGTCTTGAGTTTTGGATACTCTGTCCCGTTCATTTTGAAATCCAGACCTTCAGTGCTTTCCATTTCATTCAGAAATGAGTCCTCACTTGGATTTGGCCCATGAGAAACTTCCAGCTTACCTGGTCACAAGAAAAATGTTTGGAGAATGGGTATTCACAAGAGGGGATGTGTCTAACCAACCCGCGAGGGGGATTGGGAATGTTCAGCTTCAGCTGGAATTAGTTGAGGGGTATGCTGCTGCCTGGGGCCACCACCACCTGTATGGAGGAAATAAGAATATTAGATTATGAAAACAAAATAAACTAGAAGAAATTTAATGGGGAAACATTCCTCTCACTCTTTGGACAAGAATCGAGAGACCTGAAGAATCAAGCTTATGAGAGGCGCTATTTTGAGGGGATGAGCAAGGGATTTTTGTTTTCTTTATAAGTAGGGAGGCTGAGTGGTATGAAGGAAGAAGTATTGGAGTAATCAGGAGACGGAGGTGGGAGTCCTAGCTTTCCTACTAACTAGCTGTGTGGCTATGGGCAAATCCTTTCACTTCTTTAGAGCTTCAGTCTTTTCATCAGTAAAAAGATTGAGTTGGACTAGATCATCATAAATGGACTTCCAGCCCTAAAACAATTGATGTGTGAAGTCTGAATGGCTGTTTTTTACAGCCTCATATCACAAGGAAAGAAAGGGTTCCTCCTGTTGATAAGAATGTTACCTTTTCCCTTATCTTCATGGGATCTACAACGCTGGTACATAGGCCAAGTTGAAGAAAGGACTTTATTTCTTTATCTAGACTGATCTGATTCACTGGGACCATTTGGTTTAGTTTCACAGAAACTAGAATGTAAGTTGAGCCTGAACTTAAAAATGTATTCAGAAACAAACAAAAACTCCCATGAAGTTGCAAAGAATTATCATCCAGGGCTTTTTTGAATATAGTTGCATATGGTGATTTGTTGGGGATTTTCCCCCCTTCCACTGTAGCACCTTGTGGTGAAGAGAAAAAGACCCTAGCCCATCACCAAAGTTTACATGAGTGCACTCATATATTTCCTGGCAGGATTTTCCTAATGCTGTTTTCCTTTTTGATTTCAGCTCTATCACTCCATTGTTTCTGCAGCCCAGCTGCAGATCCCATGCAGCTTGCATCAAGAGAACACCCCTCCTCCCTCCCCCAGGCACACTCTCTCATTCCTTTGCTTTTCAGTCTTTTGCCAGTAAGTGGCCACCTGACCAGTCTTTCTCTGAACTCTCTGTTTAAACAGGTGCAGTACCAAGAACTGAAACAAGATCCCAGTCATAGCCCATGTAAAAGGAAGAAAAACAATCTTGGCTAGCCAGCTTCACGCACTGAGGAGACCAGCAGCATCTGTTTGAGAAAGATAAAAGAAAAAAAAAGCCCCCAGCCTCAGCAACATTTCCTTCCTTTATGTTTTTATTTATTTTGTCTTTTTTTTTATCATGATGGAGAGAATCTGTAAATATTGTACAAAGGCATATGTCATTGAAATATACTTCCGTTGTACAGAACCAGTTTGATAAGGGTTTCAAGTTTGGCTTCAGTTATATGAAACCCTTGCAGCAGTGGATGAAACTATAACATGTTAAAAAAACCAATGCAAAAAAAAAAAACATGAGAAGATACTTCTGATGGTTAGTGAACAGGCTAGAATATCAGATTAACTACTCAGCTGTGTCTGATTAAATCTATAAAAATGTAAATCTCAATCTGATTCTTAGAGGTGAATGGTGGTTTGTTTGGTTTTCATTGACTATTTTTCATCCAAAACGTTATCCATTACAAGTTTTTCTCATTTCAACAGGGGAGAAAAATAACCAACCATCCCCATAACCTATGTTTATCACAGATGCTATAATTTGGACCCTGTTCACTTTGGGTACAAATTAACTTAGAGTTGTCAGGGCTGCTTCTAAATGAATGAATGAAGGTAAATTTTAGCCTTCAAGAAAATTGTTGGTTCTTGAGGTCCATGAGGAACAGAAGTTCCACTCCTTGTACGTCATTCCATTTGAGGACTTTAAAACCTAGATGGGTCTAAAATTAAATACTGCCAGGTTTCTAAGTGATTGCATATGACTTTTTGTATAGTGCACATTTATTATACTATAATGCTTTAATTTGTACCAAATTAGCAGATTAGCAAACCCAGTACAGTTACCAATAATAGCATTAGCAATCTGAATCCATTATGGCTTTTGGTATCAGGTTATGAACACCCTTTGTCTGGCTAAGGAATTTTAATACGTAATTGTTCTAGAGTCAGCCTTGAAGTCAGGAAGACCCCTTGGCTTCAAGATCTGCCTCTGTCACATATTGGTTGTGTTCACCCAGGCAAATGACTTAACTTCTCCAGAGAACTTGCTAAGACCGACAAGCTGTTGTTTTGTATCTAAAGAGTGACGGTCTATGCCTGGAGTAAGGCATCCTGATGGTGAAGAACCTCTCTTTAAAAAAATTTTCATAGAAAAAAGGTTTTGCTTTTTTATCACATCATATAAAGTACTTCATTGTGTATGGCTTTCCAGCTATCAATAGGAATTTTAATTTAGAGGAGGATGAAGTGTGGCAAGTGATATGCCAATATTTCATTTCTTTCATTTATGAAATGGTAATTTTGACTAATATGGATATGGTCCCCCTGCATGAAAATCAGTTTTGTAAATTAGACTGCTCATTTAGGGAGGAAAAATGGTTTACCTTTGAACAATGTTCACTAATCCCAGCAGAATGAACACTTTCAGTTGCCATTTGCAAGACTCCACACAGCAGTTTTTGTACTTAATTCTCTCTGTGTCAAGGAGAGAATACACCTCGAGAGAGAAATCATCTGGAGAGAAATTCTCACTTTTCTGACTTGATAGGGGATCAAGCTTTGGTTGGAATTGTTACAAAGAATGTTTTCTACCATTCTAATAATAGACTTGGGTAGAGATTATGTTAGAGTGAGTTAAAGAGAGACAAGTTGGAAAAATGTTGGAGTGGGAGAAATGTCTATATTTCTGTCTATAGGAATATTCTTTAAAAATGCACTTATCTCATGGAAGCGGATTTAAAAATTATTTTTATGTTACTGATATATCGATAAATACTGTTTCTTGTGGTAGAACTATTTTGATTCTTTCTGTTTATACAATATGCTTGAAAGATGCCAATCAGATTCCCTTTTTGCCAAAAGGCTTTGACCTCAATGTGCTCCTTTTAGCTCATCCAGTTTATCTCAAACAATTGGGAACGGGTACATCCCCATACTGTTACTGTTTGTTGTTAACTTTATTGATGGGGATCTATTGTTTGTTTGAAATAACTTTCAGTTAGATCTTTTGTAAAACGTTATGTTCCATTCTGGTGTTGTCTGCAGACCTCAGATGATCAGTAAGCCTGACATTCTGCAAAGCTCAGACGTGCCCAATGGAATATTAACCATTAATCTATGTGCAAATTCCTGTTCTTTCACTGTACCCAATTTCAGATGTTTACTTCAGTGGTAATGTTTACTATACATTTACTGCATTAAACACAAAAGAGAATGATTATTTCCAAGTATAATCAGTATAGTCACAGTCATACTCTCCCTGTCTCTCTTTTCCTGGAATGCATACCTTTTCTTAATTTAAGCGGGAATAGTAGATAGTGTTAAAATTGGAGTCAGGAAGACCTGGTATCAGTTCCTGCCTTAAACATCAACTAACTGTGTGACCCAGGGCAAGAAATCACTTATCTATAAAAATGGGGACAATAGTAGTACCTACTTTAGAGGGTTGTTATGAGGATGAAATGAGAGAACATGTATAAAGCACTTTGTAAGCCTAGAGGACTATATAAATGCTAGCCATTATTATTATTTGTTTGGTCATCCAAAAAGATTTTTCTGATGCCTAGAAGGATTTCTTTTTCTAAACCTTAGTCTTTAGGAGCGGAGTTTCCAATAGATCTCTCCATTCCAATGAGGCTCTGGAGTGGCAGGCAGATAGAGGAATAATTACCCTGAACTATCCCTTTGCATGATAATAACATTTATATAGCACTTTAGGATGTGAAAGGCTCCCAAACACTCTATAAGGTAGGTGGCGTAAGTATCGCTCCCATTTTGCAGATAAGGAAACCCAGACTTAGCCCTAAGACTGGCATCAAATCCCATAGCTGGGTCAAAAACCTGGGACTTCTGACTCCAAGGACTGTCTGCGAATGCTCCCTCTCTTAGCATACCAACAATCCAGGAGGGGATTGATATTATTGCTACAGACATGGCTCAGAAATAAAAGTTGGGGGGAACCTACTTATTGTCTAACAGCAGGGGACTGAACCATTTCTTTTTGAAAATCCCCTCTGGTGAGGCCCACATCTTGTGTTCTAGAGCTGTGTGATAGATTTCAGTCCGAAGAGCTCTTGGAAAGTCAGCTGTGACATAAATGCTCAAACATGCCTATTCTCAACAGATGAACATTGGACATGAACCTCTTGCCCTGATTTACAAAGAGGATTGCCAAAGCTATGGTACTAATTAACTGTGTCTCAAGATGTGATATGGGATAAATTCAGTAAAAATCCTTCAACTACGTTTGGACATATTCCACAAATTGGTATTATCACCCTTTGGGTAGGGGAGAAAAAAGCTGAGCAGGAAGACCTGGATTCTAATTCAACCTCTAACCCACTACTGACTTTGTGAGTTTCTGTGCTTCTTGGCAACACTTAAAAGACTAAACATCGCAAATCTTCATTGGTGGGGAAAATTTCCTCTGGGCCTTGTTGACACCAATGAAATCACAGGTCCAGACTAAAAAGAAAACAAAACAAAACAACAATTATCCCTCAAAGGAGCAGCATTTATATTTATACATGTTTAGTATGGCTCTAGGGATTTTAGATAGACTTGATGTATGAGGATTCTAAATTATCTCAATGTGTCAGCATAGGGAGTACACTCTAAAAAATCAAAACAGTTTTGAAAGTTCTCATGTTATATTAACACTGACAGCAAATGAATACAAATTTTTTGTTGTTTTCATCAGTAAGTGGGACATAATATTACCAGGAGAGATTATTTGGTAGTTCTAGTAGAACATTAGACTTATTTAGGGGGTTCCCTTCTAAGCTTTCACCTTGTGATTTCCACTGAGGGTTTTCCATTCATTTGGCACTTCCAAAATATTTCAAGCAAGTCCTTTATAGAATGTCCACTCAAGTGGCTAGAGCACCAGCCCTGGATTCAGGAGGGGCCTGAGTTCAAATATGGTCTCAAACATAACACTTACTAGCTGTGTGACTCTGGGCAAGTCACTTAACCACATTGCCTAGCCAAAAAAAAAAGTCCACTCAATATTTTAACAGCAGAGGACTTGGTGACGAGTTCTGTCACATCTGTGAACACAAACACTTAACCTCTTGATTTCTATATCTGAATTTACTTTCATCAGAGTTGATGACTCCCCCCCCCCCCATTAAAGATTCTCTGACTTATTCAACAAGCCTTTGTTCCCTTTGTGTATTTAATACTATACTGGCCTTTAGCATCAAAATACCAGCACTATGGCCAGCTAGGTGACACAGTGGATAGAGTGCCAGGCCTGGAGTCAGGACGACTCATCTTCCTGGGTAAAAATCCGGCTTCAGACACTAATCTGTGTGGCCCTGTGCAAGTCATTTAACCCTGTTTGTCTCAGTTTACCCATCTATCAAATGAGCTGGAAAGGGAAATGGTAAACAACTCCAGTATCTCTGCCCAAAAAAGCCCCAGATGGGGTCACAAAGGGTTGGACACAACTGAAATGACTGAACAAAAGCAGCACTGTAGAAATGTATGGAGATAGAAGTATCATGAATTATACTTCCCGTCAAAGTCCCAGTATATATTAGTCTTTTAATTTTTTTAAATCCCAGAGAACAGAATATATATTGCAAGACAATCATAACTACACATTATATGCAGAACACTCACTTGTTAGGTTGGTTTGAATACCCACCATTTCTAGCTTCTACAGAGCTTTTCCTGCATTTTTAGTTGTTTTGTATGAAATAAAGCCACATTCTTCTTGTTGGTAAAGCCCCAGCATTATGATAGCTCTTCACTATTTTCAATTCTAATTCTCCTTCCTGTGGTGGCTGATGCAGCTGAATTGCAAAAAACCCCAGTATTTCCCTGGGTTAAAAACAACAACACAGGTGTAGGGGGGGAAAGTACACTTTAAAAGCTTTTTGAAAGGAAACCTCAGTTCCTATAACCCCATTTACCTCCCCTGAAACCCTGAGCCTTAACTAAAAGCCTCCCTCAGCAAGCCAATGCAAATGATGCATTTGTTTTAGACATAACTATGTAAAATGTTTGCAAGAATTTAAAGAATAATATAAAATATTTTGAGATGTAGATCAGTGTCATGCTGCTCAAATTGAAACCATTATATACCTTAATTGGCAGAACTCATGGTTTGGTTTTTCCCACCTTCAAAAGAATGGGTATACTGGCTTTATTTGGGGGGTGGGTGCTAAGGATATTTAGGCTACTTATTTCTCTACGTCTTTTCATTTCCAAAGAGCTTGGATAAATGATGTGCCGCCACTATTTTTTCCCCCCAAAATGCTGAGGCAACCAAATTTCAGCTGTTCACTCAATTCAATTAACCATTCTTCTCTGTTGGGCAATCAATCAGCAAGCAATTAAGTGGTGGGCACTGGGGATACAAAGATAAGAAGAATCAGTCCTTGCCCACCTAGAGTTTATAGTCTAGCCAAGGGTGACAACTTGAACATCAACCTGGTAGAAAGGCTAGGAGAGGAGAGAGAGAGATAGAGACAGAAAAAAGAAAGCAAAAAACAAAACTGCTCTAAGTAGGGCATGAAGGAGAAGTTCCCTAGCTTGCAGCTCTTTTGGGTGTTCTACCCCATGGGTGCAAGAGGCCTGGCTGGTGAATAAGAGAAATCACATGACAGCCTAAACCTAGAAGCCTGAAAAGCACCAAGTTCTATTGGGAATGGCCAGAATATCTGAGGAGTTAAGGCAATGGCCCAGTTGTGAACTATGAATGGGAAAGCATAAAAAGATACACACAGCCCCACAAAGGACATAAATCACCATGCTGCATTTTCCTTAGCAGAGCTCAGTGGTGAGGGATTTAGTGCTTCAAGGATGAAGCAGATTTTTTTTCACCCTGGCCTTTTCTTTTGCTGGTGACACAGCTTCCAAAAATACATCCAGAGTGCCTTCCTATCAAAATGATTTTGTACTTATTTCATAGTGACTTATACAAGGCATCCCAAAAGTCTCAGTACTAAGACTATCAGCACCCTGTATATGTACATGTTTTCCCTCTTACTAGATTATAAGGTCGTTGAGGGCAAAGGTGGTTTCATTTTGGTCGAATTCCTGTTCTACTTCCCCACTCGCACCCTTCCCCCCACCCCCCCAGTGCCAGGCACATAGTAGGACTTTAATCAATATTTGTTAATTGATTGATCCAGCAATATGAGCTAGCAGCAATTATTTATTTTCTTGTGTATAACTGAGGACATTCCATACATAATGCAACAAATACATTTATCGACAGTCTGATCCACTCTTCTTTCTGGTAGCATAGACAGTCGGCTAGAGCCATGCAATGGTGGCTTACCAATCTGGCAAGTAGACAGATGTCCCTGTGCTTAGCACAGTGCCTATCACATTAGGGGAAAAAAAAGTTTCTGTTTATTTTTTAGCTACCTGTCAAGAGACCTAAATCCCACCAAAGCAAACGAATCTATTCAACACAGTCTTTTACTAAGTTAACAGGTAGGTAGCCTAGCTACTAAATGGTTACCCAATATAGCTGTGTTTCTAATTAATCTCTTTGACCTTGGACATTTTGGGTGATTAGATGTTTTAACTCAAGACTCCTGTCACTAGTTAAGGTTTTTTTTTAAAAATTCTGTCAGCAGATAATAAAAGATGAAAATGTTTACAAAGTAAAATGATTGTAGTTGGAATCATACTCTGTCTAAAAGGCGCCTCTGAAAAAGCCATTTTCCTGGTTCTCACAGATGGAGGTATAAGGTAGCAGCCTCTGACAAAGCTGTGAAAATCAGAGTTTTCTCCTAACCGTGGCCAGACTCCCTACAGAATTCCCTCACAAAAGTCTGGCTGCTTAATCTGGTATCAATACAGTGGAGTAGAAAAACCCACATTATAAAGTGGGGTTTTTCTACATCTGTGAAGAGAAATGAAAGAGAATTCTTAATTCAATAACAGTAGTGAGCTCCCTGCAAATGCATCTAAGGTAGAGTCTGGTAAATGTAGCCATCATTTAATGTTATCAGTTGTTCCCTTCTTTTTTTGTGTTGAATCTGAAAAGACCCATCAGGGAACAAGTAATTCTTCATGTCCCACGAACACTCCTAAAATCAGAAGGGGTTGATAGAGGAGATAGGTTATCATCAACCCACATGGTATCCATATGAAAGAATAACAGTTTAAGAACCAGGATGGGATGACCATGTCAGTAAACCAAGGGAGTAGACACATTCTCAGAGAAAGGGCAGAAAACATCTATAGGGAGAAGATATTGCTTAGCATATGGATGAGATGATGCTTTCAGAGCTCATTTAAAAACTACCACTCTTTGAGGAATAATAATAGCTTATGATAAGTTTGTGGTGCTAAACTGAAAATAACAACCATTAGAAGGCTAGTTACCATGGCAAGTAAGACTCTTTGAGAAAAGGAGATAATTTTAAAAACAGGAAACTATTAAGACACTAATTCAGTCAGTTATACTTCAATCACTTCTTGGCATTTGTTTTTAAATATGTATACATGGTCTTCCTCTACCCCTCCCAGTGAGACAAACCAATTCAATGACTTTTTTTCCATAAACTAAACTCCTCCCTTTATTTTTTAAAAATTAATTAATTTATTTTTAGTTTTCAACATTCACTTCCATAAGCTTTTCAGTTTTAAAATTTCTCCACCCCAAGATGATGTGCAACCTGATATAGGCTATACATATGCATTCCTATTAAACACATTTTCACATTACTTATGTTACAAAGAATTAAAACCAATAGGAGGAACCACAAGAAAGAAGAAATCAAACAAAAGGAAAATAAAAGCAAATAGTACGCTTTGATCTACATTTAAACTCCATAGTTCTCTGTCTGGATGTGGACAGCATTTTCCATCATGCCCTTCCTTACTCTTAACCTCCCTGTTCTAGCCCACCAAAATAAATGATCACTTCATGCAAATCAGTGCCTTTGCCTCTTCTTCGCCAATATGCCTATACCTGTAAAATTTTCTCAATCAATGCACGTGGAATCTCCCAGAAATCTCCACATTGATTCTTCCTAGCCTCCAATGATTCCCAACCACTGTTTTAAAAATGGCACATTTTCTTCTGTTAATCCTGCTAATTTTGAGATTGCAAAACTGTTCAGGCACAAAAGTTGTTTAATTTAGCAATTTAAAATTATAAGAGACAGTGTGATATAAGAGAAGAATGATGAACTGGGGGCCAAAAGGGTTTGAAACCCTTCTTAATTAATAATGTGTGTCTACCTAATAACTGTAGGGGCACAGGCAGGTCACCGTACTTATCTGAACCTCAGTTTCCTTATCTCTAAATGGGAAGAATACCTGCAATACCTACCTCACAGGGCTGTTGTGAGGATCAAACAAGATAATGTATACAAAGGTCTTTGCAAACCTTACAATGCTAAATGTCAGATATCATCATTAATAACTTTCTGTACAGTGTACTGGATCTCTTTGGTTGGAAAGAATATGGATGAAGAAAATGTATCTTTTTGTTTTAAATAAAACTTGTATTAAATGACATACCCAGTTATTGGTGGTGGTGGTGAAACTGTGGGGTGGGGTGCAATCTCCATTTCTAAATCAATCCCATTTAAGTCAAACCATTCTCATCCTTAAAAAAAATGCCTCAGTGTTAAAAGGTAAAACACCACTGGCCTAACCTTTTGAGTTCTTTTGAGATGTCACTTATGACAAGTTAAGTTCTTTTCATGATTTACCATTTTAAGATTAATAATCTTTTTCAGAAGGACTATCTACTTCATTGTAAGGCTTTTTCAGTTCATCCACCACAAAGATTAATGACAGTCTTATAAGAATGTATTCAAACCTGGATTCCAGATTCTCAGTTGGCAAATCCCACCTGCTGAAACTATAAAACATGTTCTTATTTTTTTTCTTGCTTTCCCTTGATGAGTCTTAAACAACATTTCCTAACAGTAGCTTGTGATTTTCTATTAATATGCTCATGCCAACAGAGGGGCTGGGGGAAAAAAAAGATGTTTCAAGCATAATTAAAAAATGAAAAAAAATTGGGAAAGGCTTCAGCCACCATTGGTAATAACCCTATTTGAGTGGGAACCATTTTAAAAATGGATTCAAGTTCTATATTATATTGTTGCAGATTAGTAATACTTCAATGGTATCTTTCTATAATACATTAGCTCATAGGCCACTTTGTTTAGATGCAATACTAGACGTCTTTCAATTCTTGATTTGGCAAATGATTTCTAATCTATAACCAAATAATTTATTTTGCTCTTCTAAAATGAGAAAACAAAAGATAATCAGTACAAATATACTATATATATATATATGTATATATATATGTATAGCACAAAGATAAAGGTATTTTCAGAATCAGTTACTTGCACCAAGAGTACAGCATGGATTTTCACACATTATGCATTTCAAAGAAAAAAATATATATCTAATAAAAAAAAGTCATTTTGCAATTTTAAAAATGTAAAATTTAGAAAATTAAGCTATAAGTGTTTCTTTTAAAAAACAAGTAAAAATAGTCCTATTTTTCCTCCAACAAATTACCTAAAATTATTCAAAGTGAAGGAATTGAACTTTCCTGATTCTATATGTTGTGTTGAAGCTTTCATAAACTAGAAAGAATGTAAAGGCTAAAATATGAAGAAATAAATCAGTAGCTAGAGTGAATTTTCAATCTTCAGACGTTATTTACCAGGAATGAAAGCATTAAAACATACCCTTATAACAGTGTCTGATTCTCCAGTACCCAGAGTTCCTGAAAGATAAAGCTGGCAATAATTTTATTAATGTGTCTGCAAAAGAGTATTGAAGATATGCTTTAATTCACCTTAGTACGTACTCACCCATAGGTTACAGGTACTCGGTGTAAAATATGTGGCTTCCTAGCTTTATTGATGAATATAGCATTCAATTATTGAATGACAGAAGATCACATGAACTATAAATTTCACAAAATTCTCTTACCAGAATCTCCTGCCGTATAAAAATGTCTTCCATAGAAGGGATATGCTGTATCTCAAAAACCACTGTGTGCTTAAAATCACATAACACAACACCCTAAATCCCTTTCTAACTAGCTCATGTTACCAACTGTATTTCATATATGGAAACACGTTGTGTTAAGGCAATTAAACATCAAAATATATTCTGCCACCATAACTTTTAGAATCTAATTTGGAATTTCTTGCAATTTGGTTATCAGGAATAGTTTAGTACCCCATGTCACCAATTTTGAAGTTGTCGGGTCTCTACCATATACCTAACTCCAACAATGTCATCACTGACCCTCTAATTCAAGCCACATTCGTTATAAAAACAAATTATCATTCTAAGTCTTGCTCTCTAGATGTTGGCAGGAGGTGTGGGAGAGTGCCTGGGGGAAGGAGTGCCTCATGTCACTCAAAAATGACCCCTTCCTGCTGATTAAGGAGAAACATTGACAGGCTCTCATCAAGCTCTCTCTCTCTCTCTTAACTGGAAAGGTGTGTGCATGCATATGGATTGTACCCTCCCCTGATGATTACTGCACACGATGGTGTCCATCTGAGAGAAGCTACGTTCTAGGTTTTACAGTAAACAAAAATGGCATGCCTTTCATGGGCATGTTAGAAACACATTCGGTTGGTCAACCTAGTCCATGGGTGGGGGTGAGCTGAGGCTTGGGAATGGCTGATTTATATGCACACCACATATGGTGTTATGAAAGATAATCCTGAGTGAAGAAAACTATGACACTGAGAACAGAAGTTGAGCTTCTGATACCACAATAAGGATTACTTCATGTCTTACACATCACATAAAGGTTTTAAAACATTTTTTCACTTAGAAAAAGTACAAGGTAGCAGAGTAACTGCAAATAATAATGGCTCATATTTATCAAGTACTTTATGGTTACAAAGTGTTTTCTTCACAATTATCTTGGGTAGTTTATCATCTCCATTTTTCATAAGGCCCAGAGACTGACTTGTTGAAGGTCACTCAGAAACGCAAGTCATTTGCTTCCAAGACTAGAACTCTCTCAACATATTATCTATGGATTTAGGAAGGCATCATTTAAAGTACGAGTACTGGGGCTTTGTTTCTGAGGTATAAAGCTGAAAGGCAACTTTAAAACAAAATTTTTTCTATTTATTTGTGTAGAAAAATTAAGAACATTTAAACACTTGTCCTCTTTTATCCTTTATAGTCAATGCAAAGACAACTGAGAAGCCAAGTAGTGTAGTAGATGGATCTGAAGTCAGAAGACATGGTTTCAGGTCCTGCCTCTGACAAATACTATGTGGCTATGGGCAAGTCAGCTCTCGGAGCCACAGGCAATCTAAGACTGTAAGTTATAAAGACAAGTTGCCAATTTGCATCCATGGAAATAATTTTCATATAGGGAATATTCTGTATAGATGAAATGACTATAGATCTAGTAAAAAAAAAAAAGAAACTTAAAAAAAAGGTTACAGCTTCATTATGGATGACCTGTTGGAATATCCAGTAAAAATAAAACTAAACAACAGAAAAAACAATGCTGAACTTTCATATAACTCGAGTTCTAAGGGAAGGCCCTTATTTTAATACTTAGAAATGAATATCAGAAAATCTCTCAGGATTAATAACTGGCAACCAGATGTACCTGTACCTCGTTAGATGGCTTTTTAAAAAGAATCTGAGTCTTAGTTAAGTACACTGTTACTATCAATGCCATAACTCAGCTCTCTTTATAGGCACTGTACATAACTTTTTTCAAGTCATCTAGAAATGAAAACTTGTGTTGACAGGTTATGCATTTTAAAACACAAATATGATAATTAAGTTTCTCATAGCATGGTTAAGATATATTAAACAAGTTAAACCATATTAACTCAGGTGGAAATCTGAAATTTCATCAAACTTAAAAATCATGAAAGTATGAACTTTTTTCTGGCCAGGATCACCTCTTTCAAAGGTTTTCACAAATCCTAATAATGCCTAGCCCTGTGACATGTACATAGGAGATACACAGCAATTTTAAAAAGATGAGAATGAAAGCCAGGAAGGTAATTTTACCTTGCATCTAATTCAAATTATGTCACTGTACACATCTTATACTTTATTCATGGTAAGAGAAAGCTGACAGGTACAAAATTCATTTAGAAAATAAACACTGTAACTAAAAGAAAACATTTTCATGATGATTCAGTGTAGAAAAAGCCACTATTTTTCCATTACACTGAAAAAAAAAGACAGTCTAAATGAACTACTGAAGACAGGGCATGTGTTATACTCACAAATTTATCTCCTCTGCCTTGCCCTGTTTCCCTTACTTTGATAAACTATCTTCTCCATATTCAGTTTTCATTCATTTAGTTTATTTTGTAGTGTTCACTAAGAGGAAAGAGATGTATCAGGCAGGATCACAGTGTGGGGAAAAAAAACAAAACAAATTTAAGTGATGATTTAGAAGAACCTAAACATTTTACTGACGAGACCACAGAGGTACGGAGAGGATACGACCTGTTCGACAGCCAGCTTGTTAGTCTTGGTACAGACCAGACCAGAATTCAGATTTTCCAATGTCCTGTCCAGCGCTTACTTTATTATACCATACTACATCTCTATGCAGTCTGCCAGATATTAAAATGTGGTATTCCCTAGACTAGCTTATGTGTAAACATAAACTTTTAAATAGGAAAAGCATGAAAAGAACAGCATTTAACCAGAACTGATCCACTACTATAGGGAAGGACAATGAGATTATAACCTCTGTAACTGATCACTGAGTATCTATGTGATACTGTGAAAAGATCTGTTTCTATGATAAAAATCAAAGCGTGCAGATTAATTGCTGTGAGATTTACGTAGAAGCTGCATGAAAGCTAAATCGAAGTCTTCATGTCTCTGTGCCAGCTGTAGAAAAATATAACATTCCCACTAGTGGCTGTGACCACCCGTTCTTTCACTTTTAGCTTTATCACGCATCGCTAGGAGGAAAGGATCTCAAACGGACACATTTCTAGCCTGTGTCGTCATACAGCACAGAAAAACCTTGGATCAACTTAATCTATAAACTGCCACTTCACTGGCTACTTGCAGCAGCAACACACCTTGTATGCAGGAGATACAGATGGATTCGGGTTTATTCTCTTCCCACTAAAGCATCAGTTAATGCTGCAAACTTTAGAAACAGTTATTTTAAGAAAAACACAGACTTGAAAGGAACCTGATCTGAAGGTCAATATTCTGAATAAAAAACATTTCCCAATGATTTCCTTAAAAATGAATATGTGTATATAATTGCATTGATATCTGCGAGGATTCTCAGATATGTACAGAAGAGAGAAAATAATTTCACTAGGTTTTAATAAATACTTAGATGAAGAGGGTTACAGCACAAATAAGAATCATTTTTAAAAAACACAATATAATTTTTTAAACTGCTATTCAATTTGTAAATAATTTACATTTCTCTTCTGGAGAGCAGAGTTAACATACTTTTTTCTGAAAAAGAAGTTATCTAATAAGCACCTCTAAAAAAATTATGTCAAAGACTGTGTCTATAAATTTGGATTTAAACTATTTTAGAAAGTCTATAAATATTAACTAGTGCCATGAAAAGTCTCTGACTGATCTAGCATAGTCTTTAGTGTCATCAGTAAGGCCTGTGTCTGAACTCCAGGAAACACTTTCAAGTTCTCAGGGATCTCCTTAAGGAGACTTGGGAGCTTCTGCAATGTCACAAGATCTCTAGCATAGAGATCCATAATCCAGTCAGTATGCACACTGGTGGCATCCTTGCAAGTCCTAGGAGAAGTAAACAGTCTTTCATGTAGATGAGTTAACTCCTTAAAAACAGAGAAGCTTGAAAACAAGTTGAATATTGAACAAAAATTCAACAGCATTCTACCAAATAAGAATGAGCCGAATTCAATCTGCTGCTGGTAAAAATGTTCCTCTGCTTGTGCATGAAGGTCCTCGGTGGAACCTTGGACTTGTAGGACGGCCAGGAGATCTTCTTTGATTTGGGGAGCTAAAACGTAATCCAAAGGCAGTTTTCCTTTAGAAGTCCTCTGCTGAAGAAGCACCGAGCCTGGAAAAGTGATGCAAAGTGCTAAGTAACATTTACAGCTAGCTCTGGCACTAACTCGGGTGGATACAATTAGTCAAGGCACTTCGGAAAAAAAAAAATTCGAATCAATTGCCTAATTTGTAAATGGCATAAAAGTGTATTTGCATTAGCTTACAACTGATCTATGAGGTACAAATTAAAAAAAAAGATTTTGAGAAATTTTACAGATTGGTTTTAAAAAATGATGCTGCTTCCAAGATTAAGAAAGCATATGTACCTCTCCAGAGGACAGTGAGTGCACACATGAACACATACACACACACACACTCCCTAACATAAACACAAAAGACAAAATACAAACTCATTAGCCTGGCACTTAGGGGCCTACACAATTTGGCTCCCATTTCTACAGCCCTTATTTCATAATTTTCTCTTTCACAAACTCTACACCTATTCCAACTGGACTAGATTACTATTTATTACCTGGACTTGATATTCCATATGAGCTTTGCTCATGTGCACAAGCCATTCCTTGTACCAAGAATATCTCTTCCTCCTCATTTTCATCTCTTTGAATCCTTGTTTTTCTTCCCAACTCAATTAGATATCATTTCTATGAAGGCATTCCTCATTTCCTCCCCAATATAGTAACGACAATTAGCGTTCCTTCTCTTTTCAGTTTTCCCTCTTTTTATACATGTATCCTCCAAGTAGAAGGTAAGCCCCTTGAGGGAAGAGGCAATTTTGTTTTTGGTCTTTTTATCCCCAATACCCAGCACAGAGCCTTGAAGGCACTAAAAATATGTGCTTAACAAGTTTGTTGAATTGGATTACTAATTTGATACTGTGAGAAATGTGCTTAAACATCCTGGGCTATTCAGAATATCCCATGGTAACATAGTACCCATAAGGAAACTAATAAAAGCAGTAGAATTGGAAGTCTAGGAAAAAATGTGCTGAGTAGAGGGACTATTCTTCAACAGCAGCATGTCTTTCACGGTCTACCTTGAATGTGTGGCTGAATGATCAAAAAACAAAAACAAAACCAGAACACTCTTAAACTATGAACTGCCCCAAATTACAACCCATCTACTCTATCCAAAGTTGTGTATCTTACTGCTTGGAAGTTACTGCAGCCCTCCCCCCATCCCTTTCCCTGGTAGGATTGGCGGTAGCACAGGTGAAATATGAGAGCAGCAGAATATCAACAATGTTGTATTTGGTTAAACTTCAGTAAACAAATGGTAAGCACCCGATCTGTTTCATGGACTGTGCCAGGTTTAATTTTTATGCATTTCAACATTAGGAAAACAACTGTTGTAAGAGCTATAAAAGATTTTTTCCCTCCTTTTTTAAGATAGTAGCAACGCTATAATACAAAATTCATGACCTAGTCATTTGTTAGCAACATTCATGCTTATGCAAAATATTGTTTTTAGAAGGAAAAAAAGTTTTTAGCTAATGTATTAGCTTACTTTTAAAAATACATAGTTCCACCTTCAACATAATTACATATATATGTATATATACATACACATGCACCCATTTTTTTACATAGAATAACACAATAACTGATGAAATAAGATTAATGTCTAGCTAGCTTAAGGTCAAATGGTCTTTTGAAGTACCGCATTGCTTTGCAGTGTGCTGAATGAACAATTAAAAAATAAGTACCAAAACAACCCCCCCCCCAAAAAAGGTGACAGCTAAGTTCTTATAGAATTTTTTAAAAAAGGACTCCATCCGACTTCTCCTAAGCCTGAATGAATCCACAATCAGTGTGTAAAGTAGTTTCTGCCATGGCTGTGTCAAACTCTTTGATAGGCCCAAACCTAGAATGTAACAAAGGCAAAGACAGGACTGCATTCAACCTCTAGGGTAGCTAGAGGTCCTTGATGAATGCAACTGCAAGTAGATCTCTCCCTTAGGACAAGAAGATCATCCATTTCCTATTCTTCGCTAATGGCCTTGGAAAAATGCACATCTGTCAGTGTATGCCATTCTCTATTGGAAAGTTCAGTTTACTCCATCACATTGGTACACTGATTCTTGCATCACTTGAACCAATTGGAGAGAGGGCAAGTATTTGGCTTGACATGTCAAATACAAGATTTGGTAGATAAATAAAACACCTGGGAGACAGTACACTGAGATTCAGTAAACAGAGAGTACAAGAGGAATGTAGAAGAGTCTAGGAATGTTATCAATTGCAAGATGGTGTCAGCACCATATTCACACAGGGCAGCCTTTAGGGGGCAGGAGAAGACTATAAATAACCAGAAGTCTTAGGCTGCTAGTTTTGCCCTTTTTAAAGCTGGATATAGTTAGAAGACATCCAAATGTAGCACACTTTTGTATTTTCATAAAGATAGGAATGTTTTAACTACCAAAAATATCAGAAGCCACACACTTGAATTTAATCAGGCTCATATGAAATTAATAGGAAATATATATGCTTCCCTTTGTCTGACACCCCCCCCGTGCATTTTTTTAATATTTTGATCTAAAATTTATGTTATCCAGCTCAGACCAAATAGTGTGTCACTTAAAAAGGCACAGGCTTGCTGAGAGCATCGATCATAAATCAGCACAGAGAATGGTTTGTTAAGGTATAATCCACCCATACTCATCCTCTCAAAAACCTCTGACCAGCATTTATCACAATTACAAAGTCCTCACTTTAACTCAATTATCAATTTAGCTGACCTGATAAAATGTTATTAATATTGAAAATCATTTTAGTGAGATACAAGAAAATAAATTTTAAAAATAAAATTAGTCAAGTCAGTAACAAAATAGAAGAAACCACAGGGACATTAAAGAAATCTACAGACTAACAGCTAAACCTATACATCCATTTATTAATAAACCTTTCAGAATTGACTACCGCATGAAAAGACCATACTAGACTTGAAGTAAATCCATTTTTAAAGCCCATGTACCCAATTCACAAGTGTATTCTGCTACACTGGTTTAAGCAACAGTTTCAATATAATGAATAAATGTACAGATTTAAAAAAGGCTTTTATCCATGTTGACAAAATGGTGCTTGTTTTCAAAAGAGATCTTTTTTTTTCTTTGTATTTTTTAAAGGCATTCTTCTTTATGGAAGCTAAAAAGGAAGTGTTATCAACTTCTGAGGGATTCATCAAAAATTGGATAATTTCACAAAACCAGTTTAGCATAAATGCACTCACCCCCATGCTGGAGTAGCAGCTTGCCAATTTCTACATGTCCGTTTGACAGTGCATCATGCAAAGGAGTCACCCCGTCCACTTGAGTGAGCAGATCTACCTCTGGACAACGTTGCAAAATTTCCTGGACACACACTGTGTTGCCATGGTTACAGGCTTCATGCAAAGGCGTCCAGCCAGCATAGTCTGAATTAGAAATCAAGGGAAGTTTTAAAACAGCAAAAGTAGAAGTTATTCAATGGTAAAGTAGACCTATCCTGTTTCTCTCTCCAGCATAACTCTTCAATATACCACTCAGTACAAGAAGGTTCCTTTCGTACACTTGCTTGGGCTATATAATCGTATCTCTCTTTTAAAGAGGGAAAAAGGATCTGTATGACGATCATTTTCCAAATTGGTTTAGAGATCCTACCACAAATATGGATAACAATGATGATTTTTTTCTTATATAGACTTTGGTTATAATCCATTCTCCCTCCCCTCCTCCGCCCTTCTCCCACCCCTTCCCCTCACCCCCACTTTAACAATCTTGGTTTCAGTAATGACTCAATACCATCAACTAAAGTACGGTTAGGTTTCCTTATATTTTTTCTTAATGTTAGCATGCAACTATTTTATAATCAAAATCAGGATTATCCTCAGATTTGATTAGACAGTGAAGATTCAGAACTTACCTTTAACATTAATATCTGTTCCTGGCAAAGAGAGAAGAAGAATCAATTTCTCCACTTGGTTATTTATGCAAGCTCTATGCAGGGCTGTCTCTCCTACCATAAAAAATTAATAGATTATTCCAGAGAAGGCAAGATATCAACTAAAGGAAATAATCAAAATGCATGGAACTAGGCTTTCTGGCTCTGTGCCAGAACAGTCAATAACGAATAAGATTTCCCTTTTTTGTCCAGGTTAAATATCTTTTAGGATAATTTAAAAAAAAAAAAACGTGTGGAGGAACAACAAAAAAACCCCCCACAACCAACAGAGCTTCTGTTCCATCAGAGATCCAGCAATGAAATTCTACTGCAAATGGTTTAACACAGAAATTATCTCCCCTTAGTTCAAGGTTTAAAGCTTCAATCCCACTATAAAAGCTCTGAATGATCACAGAACACCAAAAATACTGGGTTTTGAAGCAATAAAAGTTTAGAGTGCAGTTGCCCTCTCTTAAATTTATTCATGAACCTACGTTAAATGTATGGCTCTTTTTACACAGCATTTATAGCTTAATTCAAATGAATGTTTCTGGCTAAGCACGAGTGCCTCTACACACTCAAGTATAATTCAGAACTTCAAATCCATTAACAGATGGTTTGCTGCTTCTCAATAGGCTGTCTGGCTTGGCTACAGCAGCACAGAAAGGGAGAAATGAAGGAATCTTAATATAAACACACACACACACACACACACACACACACACACACACACGGAGGGGGGAAAAGCCCTAGTACCATTTAAAGCTTAAACAAGGGTGACAAATAGAATTGCAAGGTCCTCAAATCTGTTTTCCAAAAGGGTGCAATTAATGCATGCAAGGTAAAATTGAGTCACATTGACATCTCTGTTGTCACCAAGTGATTAGAATGAACAGGAACCAAAACCATGAACTTGATCTGAGGAGGATGAAAGAAGTTATTGCAATGCCACACAGACTAGAAATCAAATACAAACTGCATATGTAGCTAAAGTTAATTTTCTCTCTTACTGAGATAATGTAACACATTTTATAGGGTTTAAATTCATGGTACACACCCTAAATACCCCTTTTCAGTCTCTGCAAGTATTTCTATGGGAAAATTCCTTTCATATGCACAGAGAAAGACATTTGGAATTTTTCTCTATTATAATTTTTCAATTCTCTTTCCCTATCCCTAATTCCTACTGCTGTTCAGCTCAGCATATATTATTAAAAACAGAACAAATAAAAAGGACATTGGTTTTTTGAAATTAACAAATTTTATTAATAAATCACTCTTCTTATATCTTGAGAAGAATGGACAAGTATTTGGCATTTTGTGCCACACAATTAGGAATTTATATTATGTTGAAAGATTAGAACAAGAGTTTCTTTGCCAATATTGTTCCAGATATCCCATGAGGGTCATAATAATAAACATATTTGTATTAGATGCACGATACATAAGGTATAGATCACAAACAAAAAGATGTAGCAAATGATTTGGGCCAATTACAGCCTCATGTAAGGTATATTTTATTAAATTTGTGTAGTTAAGTGGAGCCTGAATGAATTATGGCCATGTTATTTCATCCTTTAGGTACTTAGATGCTAGTATAGTTAGGACTAAAAAGCCAAACACATTTCATAGTCTGGGCTCAATGCCTGGAAGAAAAGAGTCCATATGCTTAACACAGCTATGTAACATAGCTTACTCCCCAGTCTTTGTTCACAAAATGTCTAGGACTGAAGAGATGAAGACTGAATTATACTTTCAAATCAGCAGACGCTGATCCTAAGCAACCCAGGTTGAGGTGGATTAGCAAAGTAAGGCGGGCAAGTCTGGAATGAGCTCACACAAGCTACATACTGTGTTTAATATTTGGAGAAGTAGAGAGAGAAGAGAAGTAACGTGCTATTATACTAAGTATAATCTTTTCATTAATGACATTTTAAGAAAACTAACATGCTATCCAGGAAGGTATTTCTTGGATGTAGGCCAACATTTTAGTTCAAGCATTCATCAGGACAAGTGTATTAAACTTGCAAGTAATGGCTGCAACCATGAAAAGTTCTTAGCATACATTAATTTAGATACTTCGAATACCTCTTAAATTGGTCTTGTGAAAATGCATTTTTGGAAGCAAAGAGCGGCAATTCTCTTTGGAACATGACAATTCTCCTTCCCGTTTCTTTTGCAACCTTTTTAACGACAAAGAATGCTTCAGCTCACTAGAAGAAAAATAAGAAATAATGAAGGCTTGTTTTTTGGCCATGCATGTTCAGCATACATTAGATTGTGGATTTTTTTTTAAACTAGACTCTTTTTAATCATAAATTCCTCATGTAAATTCATATTTTGTTTTCTAGGTAGGTCACTTATCCCAATGGTCTCAACATCTCCCTCGACATAGCTGAGGAGGTATTTTTCACTTTGCTGACCCCTTTACCTAACTACTTTTGGAGAAGTTCACAAACAGTACATATCCAATAAATGGATAAGAAACAGGGGACCAATTTGAGATAGGAAGAAGTCATGATCAGAAACTTGATGCTCTTCTTCAGTTCAGTTTCTCAACTTTACAGCCCTCCTTGTTCCTCTATCATCGTTGTCATCATCGTCATCATCATCATCATCATCATGTGATGATGATACAAACAGCAACAACAGCAGCATTTTAAGATTTGCAAAGTACTTTATGTGTAACATACCCATACCACCTCTGCAAGGTAGGTGCTATTACTTATCAAACCCATTTCACAGAGGAGGTAACTGAGGCTGAGGGCAATTAAGGGAGTCGCCGAAGATCATATGGTTAGTACAGAAAGGCCTGAGGCAGAACATTCTATTTCAGCAGAGGAGAGCTTTGTGTATTTTTTTTAAAGGTTTCTCTTTCCGGAAAATATTATACAATATCCCATGAGAAGTTAAGGATGCATGTAGGATTTATGATGTGGTTGCTTATACTCCTGGCCAGAAATTCTGAAGTTGAATCTCTACGGCATTTTAAGTAACAGATAAAGTGCATATCACGTACATAATAATAATCATGAAATCAGACAAAAACCATGTAAAGCAGTCATTTGGTAAACAATTTCATTTCTCTGGGGAAACATTTTGCCTCAACATTGAGGAAATGGATGTGAGTCAGTGTATGTACATACTGAGGGGCAGGAAAAAAAATCCCAAACCTTATAGGTTTAGAAACAGGCTTTGTGTCACCAGGAAGCACAGGCTGACCACCCCAGGTCGTGTGAAGTTCAAGACACTGTGTTAGGGCAGAAGCTGCACCTCAAGGCAGAAGACAGTGAGTGATGCTCTAGGTTTTACTTACGGTGCCTCAGGCAGGACCGTGGCTTGGTTCTGATCACCACCAGTTAACATCTTCAGGGCCCTCTGAGAGTCAGGGCCAACCCAATGTCCCAACTTCTTCCGTTTCTGCCCCTTTCTTGATTCAAGCATACCAACTTTTCCCAATGCAGGCAAATAAGCACATACCTGTTGCAAAATCACATCATAATATGACTTTCATGATCCTATGTATGGCAACTGGAAGCCTAAAAATCATTACCTGATCATTTCTCATAAAATTTGGTGACGTCCTTTCTGCTCTGTCAGTGTGGTTACTATACCATCTCGGCTAAATATGCTAAAATATGAAGATGATTGCTAAAATGACTATTTGTTTTTTCTTTTTAGTTTTGAACTTGAAATGATCATTTATTTTGGGGGAATTAACTTTCTTTTGAGCCCTTCCTTATTTTCCAGGATAAACATTTGTAACAAAATTTAAAAAAAGAAAAAGTAGTTCAGTAAGATCAGGGTATTGGAAATGGGTTTTAGTACATTCAACTCATGGAATGGCAGTCCTAGAGCTGAAGGACCTCAGAGACCATCTAGTCCAACGCCTTCATTTGACAGGTAAAGAAACTGAGGCTTAGGGAAGCTAAGTGAGTTGACCCAGGTCAAACAAGTAGTGAGTGGTAGATGTGCAGTTTGAACCCGGGTTTGGGCTGAAATTTTACTTTTGTCACTATGCATAGGGTATCATTTTAGGTAAGTCACTGTACTCTGGCCCTCAGTTTCCCCATCTGTAAAACAGGAGGGTTGAGGTTAGATGACCTCTGACGTCCCTTCCAGCTTTAGATGATTCCATGATGCATAAAGTGACTATTTCACATCATTAAACCAATACCACATGGATGAAAAGAAGAAAAAATGCCTGGATGCAAATAATTATTCTTTTCTAATTTAATTTTTTTGGCATTATGCTCATTCAGAAAAGATCCTTTGATCAGTCTTGTGCCTAGCATGTTATGTTGCTTTTGCATAATTTATTTATAAAAAAGCCATCTGATTTATGTACAACTGGTATTTTGCCATTTCAATTTTGATTATGCATTTTATGCATTAGGAAACAAGTCTGGTGTAAGACATACAATAATGGGTGTGCAAGTCTACGAAAGGGAAAGAAATGTTGCAAAACACAGAATTTTGCCCAACCAAATTGCATAAACAAGTATGTCTGATTCTTATTTCTTCATGGAACTGCTTGAGGGCATTTAATAATATCCAAAGATGGGCCAGTGATGGTGTTGGCAAGATACAGCTAGAGAACTATGGACTAAATGCACCACTTGTGATTGGTAAGATTAGAGTGGGTTTGAATAGTTATAAGTAACCTTATTTTAGAATATTAGATATTAAATGGAATTGTTCTTTTCTGCGTCTACTCTTCAATCTTATTTAAAAGAACATTCTTGCATATTAAGCTAGAGAATGAGGAATAAAGCTCTTGCGTTCTGTTCCTAGAGTAGACATTTAAACTTCCTAAGTTCTGTAATTAATTTTTTCCCTTCACTAATTTTTCTGTCTTTAAGGGGAACACCACCAACGCATAAGCAAATGTTGGAAATACTTAAATTAGTATTTGCAATGAATTAAACTGGTCATACTGATGACTCAGAAATTAAATAGATTTGAGTAGAAGGGTATTTACCATTTTCTGAAGAGAGAGTGGTTCAGGAGAAATACTGATACAGCTCTGTAAACATAACTTTTTAAAGACTGACTCTGCAATGAACATTTGAAGCCAGGATGAAGATAAGGAACTAATGAAACTCTTTAACTCTTCTGAAGAAAAATCTAAAGGAAACAAGTAAAAAACAACAAAAACCCCCAATATGTTAAGTGTCTACTAGGTATATAAGCATTGTGCTAGAAAACAGGGGAAGATAAATACTTTAGATGAGACATTCCCAAATGTTTCCTGCCTTAGGAGAGCTTGCAATCTAGTAGGCACATACACAGGTAAGAGAAATACAAAGGTGAAGCACAATCACTGTATATCATGGACCTGATTATTATTTATCCAGATTTTCCTAAGACAGAGTTCTTTTGGAGATATCATAGTACAAAGAAGAATGAATTTTAAGTCAGAACACCTGGGTTTGGATTCCAGCTCTGTTAACTGGGCATCAGTGTCTACATCTATAAAATGAGTGGGTTAATCTAGAATAAGATGATTAATTCTTAATCTCAGCCCCTTGTACTCCCAAAGGACCTATGAATAGATTTCAAGGGGGTCTGTGAACTTGGATGGGAAAAAAAAAATTCCAACTTTACATTCATCAACTAACAATTATTTGGCATTTCCTTCAATTATGAATTAAAATATATATATATATATATATATATTGAGGACTTTACCAGTCACCAGAAGGGGTCCATGACACAGAAAAGGTCAAAACCTCTAGGTCTAGATCTATATGGTTTCTCCAGCTCAAAAATCACATGGTAGCATCCCATGTGGTATTAGCACCAAAAGATTTTAATGTTCATTGATATGCAATTTGCAAATAATCAGGGTTGAGTTGATGAGGGAAAGGAATCGGAATGCTTTTTCTGACCACAATCACTAACCTAGCTATTTAACCAATCCATCTTTCTCACTTTAAGAAAAGATTTTTTAAAAAAATGCTGCACAACAGAGAATTTTGCATAGTTGGGTTGGGGGTGGGGGTGGGGGAAATTATAGAACAAAAGGGTAAGAATATGACCAATGCTTAAAAAGTAGTTTTCAACCTCTCAGAAGTAGCAGAAAGTATATATTCTAGCCCTGATCTCTTTTCTGAATACACTGCCTTATGTTAGCAACTTCTTGGTAAACATATCAACATTGATATCCTACAAACCCTCAAATTCAACATATCTAAAACAAAATTTATTATCTTCCATATTCACTCCCTCCAGAAAACTTCTTTCTATTGAGTTCACAAAGTTACCACCTTTTCATTATCCAAGCTTACAACCTTAGAGTAATACTTCACAGAATCTTAGATTTGGAAAGCACCTCTCTTGGGTCAGGCTTAACTCAAGGCCAACCCAGTGATGCACACTCAGGGTTAGAATGCCATAAAGAATTTGGTGGACCATAAAATGTTATGAAAACAATTTTATTGGTGACAAAGGATAAAGCACATAATTCCTAAGATTAAAAAAAATTTAGATAAAAGGTCTCCTCCCACACACTCCCCACCTTGTATATTCACCTTAGCAAATGGTCACTTAGCTGGCCTCAGCTTTCTCTCAGCACCTCCAACCCACCTACACTCAACTCCCCCCCCACCCCCAACCCCTCAGCAGGTGAGTTCCCTTTAAGCTAGGGCTTTGATGTTTTGGGCAGCAAGGAAGCCAAACCAATGCTGATCCTCTATAGAAGGCGAAGCCAGCCCAGACTAACGCTGGTACTGCTTCTATAACAAGCTCTCAGAAGCCATTTTGCCCTACTAATACCTGAAAAAGAATTTACTCTACAACATTCTGGACAAGTAGCCAGTCATCCAGCCTTTTTTAGATAAAGAGCTGCAGAAGGAAGAAGGGATCTAGGATCCCATGAGGCAGCCCACTGCACTTTGGGATAGCTCAATGAGGAAGGTAGCTTCTTTGCAGTTTCCAACCACTGCTCCCACTTCTGCCTTCTGGGATGAAAAATAACAAGTTGAACCCCTTGCAAACATGACAGTCCTTCAAAGTGAAGTCTGCTATCATGTTCCTCCTCTCTAGACTAAATATCCCTTGTTCCTTGTACTAATCTCTCTCTTTTTTTTTTTTTTGGCTAGACAATGGGGGTTAAGTGACTTGCCCAGGGTCACATAGCTAGTAAGTATTATGTGTCTGAGGCTGGATTTGAACTCAGGTCCTCCTGACTCCAGGGCTGGTGCTCTATCCACTGTACCACCTACTCTCCCCCCCTCCCCCCATATTGATCTCTTATGACATGATCTCAAAGCCCTTCACTGTCTTCACTGCCCTCCCTGGATACACTTCAATTTATCAATGTCCTTCCTAAAAGGAAACTCAGAAATGAACAATTTTATATTGCGAATATGATCTGAACAGCATTGCCTAGTATGGCTGGACCATATCACCTGTCTCATCCTGGGGCTATGTCTTTCAATGAAGCCTACAATTACATAATTTTTTTAAACTTCTATGTTAGATTATTTACTCTTCCCTCTTGTTCACCCACCTCCACACCACTTCTCTCATCTTTTCACCTATCTCCACGTTCCAGACTACTCTTTGTAGTTCAGGTCCTCCAACCCTTCCTTTCACATATGCCAAAATGCCTTCTTAAGGTACATATGTGACAATAGAGCACAGATCTTCAGGGGCTCCCTTTTGTCTCTAGGATAAAATGATAATTTCTCAGACTGACATCTAAAGCCCTTCATGATCTGGCTACACAAGTCCCTTCCCCTTTCTAGACTTATTTCCTATTACAGCCTACATTCTAGTCAATAGCTATTTGATGAATGTAGGTTGGATCTTCTAGCTTCAGGGCTTTTACATAAGTTGTTTCCCATGCTAGGAATCTCCCTCTTCTCCTCCCCCATCTGAATCATTATCTACATTCAAGGCTCAGCTTAGTACTACTAGAATACTAGGGCTCTTTCCCTCTTTAAATTATCTTGCATTTTCTTAAGTAAATTCACATGTTGAATCCCCATAGAACGTGAACTCTAATAGGGCAGGGACTGTTTGTTATTGTTGGGTTTTTTCTCCTCTGTATCCCCAAATTTTTATGTGGTTTGGAAAATGTAATTTAGTTCTCAGTACCTTAGACCTGTATTACAACTATATATGTATAAACACATACATACATACACATATATATGTTTTAAAATTTTTATGTACCACATCATTGATAGATAGATTGCACTTTTAAAAAGTTTTCTCCCCGAATTTGATTTCTTGAGGCTTACAGTACTGTGGTTTCCCATAGTAACTTGGACACATGCTGATATTCTTAGATCTTCCTGACTCCAGGCCCAGTACTCAATCCACTATGCCACCTAGCTTTCAATGAATCTACTTGTTTGTATTTACATTCATGTAACACAGACCATATTTTTGTCCTTCTCTGAATCAACAGCTATCAGTATACTGCCTAGCACATAGTAGGTACATAACAAATGCTAAATGACTTGACTCAAAAGAGGTGGTAGGGGATAGGGCCAAAGGTACAAGTATGGCGGTGTGCCCTGGCAAGACGCTTAATTTCTTTCTTAGTCTAGAACAAAGGAAAAAAAACTGAGAACAATTTGGGTAGGGTGCTTCCTTTTCCTTAGTGATTTGAAAGGAGGAAAGAAGATGACATGATTTAAGAGGGGTTTGAGGTATGAAAGAGGCCAAAAGAAGGCTCAAGGGGAATAATCTCAATCTTTCAGTGAAGTAGGAGGTGAGATAAATAAGTAAGTCATGGAAGAACAAAATATTTGATATCTAATAGTCAGTAAGCCCAACGGATATTAAATAAAATGAATTTGTAAAGTAACATAAACCTGTGATTATAGGATCATAGATCGAGAGCCATAGGAGATCGCAGAAGCCATTCAGTCCAATCTCCTCATTTTCCAGATGAGGAGAATGAGGATTAAAGAGGTGTGCACAATTACATGCCTTTCTCTTGTAGCACTGAAAAGCATGGAAGTAGGAACAGAGACATCATCAGCACTCTCTCCCTTCAGAAGGACTCTCTGTTAATTTGCATATACTTCGTATTTTCTTGTGTGCATGTAATTCTCCTTGATGGTAGGGATTGTTTTGTTTCTGTCTTTGTATTCTCAGTGCCTTGTACAAAGTAAGTGCTGAAGGCAAGAGATAACCAAAGGATTTGGAGAGATTTCTAGCAACAGATCAAAGGAATCAAAAAATAATGGTCAAGTGGGGGTGATGAACTGAGAGAACAGTGAAGGGAAAAAGAAGAAAGACCAATAAAGATGTAAATGGAAAAAAAAATCTAATCAGAAAGGATATAGGAACTGGGATCATTAGCTTGAAGAAAAAATAGCTGAAAGTCATCTTCCAATTCTAAAGTATGTTGTTATATTGTTATATTTTATTATATATTATACTACACAGAAGATGGCGATTAACTCTTTTCCATCTTTCCTCAAGACAGAATATAGAGGAAATGAACTTATACCTCCAAAATCAGGAATTTAGGTTAAAGAGATACTTTTAAAATACTTTGGAAATGGTATGAAGAACCTCCTCTCACAGTTTTTAGAAATGAGATATCTCATCTGTTTGAGCTGAGTTAAGCATAACCTGGCAGGAAGGAAGAAATATGGATTTAGGTCAGCTTCAGACATATTTTCTAACTTTATGATGCTATGAAAAAAAAACAAACTTAAAAATCCAACAAATGCCACCAAAAATTCAGTCAATTATGTTTGAGTACTTATTACATGGATGCTTTGTTTACCTGTAATGAGAAAGACTACTGTTACATGTCCAATGGAAATTACAGCAATACTGAGGGGTCAATTCTAACATCATTATTAATGACCTAATATAAGCAAACCAAAGATTTATTAACTCTGTGTATATTCAGCAGAACTAGGAAGCAGGGCAAAGGAATGTGAAAATGTCAGTTAGAAATAGAGAATCAAATTAAAATTTTTTCAAATCAAGTCAGGTTTTCCCAGGGGGTTGGACACCTGTAACATTAAAGACGAGGAAAGGAATATGGGGGAAAGTAGCAATGACAAAAGGAAATAATAGGCAGCAGATTTTCAGACTTCTACAATAAAAATGCAGAATTTAAGAAAGCAACATGAAAGACCTGGTTCAGCCAC